AGTCCGATTTTATAGAGCATTATACAACATTCCTCAGATATTCTTCATAATAAACTGTCACCTAATGAAAACAACATTTACATCTGCAATGGACGCCGATCTTCGAGAGTAATGTTATTCATAGAATATGGCTGTACAACTCATGTGTAAGTCTTGCCTTAGATAGCGTGTCAACCTCCCTTCAACAGAGGAAATGAAATAAAACTGAGTATCCTGTGCCACCAACATGAGTAATTAAGCATTGACATTTACTCACATTTACCCTGGACCTTACAGTCTGAAGCAGCAGAATAACAGAATTAGTCTAGCAAGCTCATAGGTGCTGAGAATATTAATTTGAGAAACATGTTTTTTCCAGAGCCACAGCATTAATATTTGGTGACTGTTAAAATGTAGTTCGGAAGGGGCAGTTAGAGAGGGTTTTCCATCAGGGGGCTGAAATGAGGTCTGTGACACTTCAGGCCCTGTCCCCTCCACCCTCCACCCTCAGCACTGGCTGCTAACCCTCATGTGAAGTGCAGCAGGTGTTAAAACACACTCAGCCATAGAGCTACTCACTGCTAATGAGTCCTGTCTCCTTAAACTCTCTGTCTCACTGATGCTTCCATGCACATAGGGTTTTATTTTTAGTGTAGGCCAGTTAGAGCAATGCCATGATTACATCCGAAGATTAAGAAATCCTGTAACACTGACCATTACAAGGTACATCCATCTGGAGGAGCCAAGAATGTAAAGGCTGAGGCATGTCATGCTGCAACCTGGACTCAGGGGTAGAGTTGACATGGTAAACCTAAATCTGAGACACTCCAATTAGTATGATATGTTACTTTGGTATGGTATGTATTCATTTGTGGATGTCCATCATCCATTTCGTGTGATATGTTACGAATTACAATTCGTATGATATGTTACTAATTGCAATTCCTACAATATGTTACGAATTTGCAAAACGTATGATATATGAATTCCAATTTCTTGTGGCTAACTTTAGCTAGGTGACTAGGTGGCTAACGCAAACATTAGCTAGATGGCTAAAGTTAGCTAGGCTAGGGGTCAAGGTTAAGGTTAAGGTTAGGGTTAGGTTAAAGGGTTAGGGTTATGGGAAGGGTAAGCTAACATGCTAAGTAGTTGGAAAGTTGCTAAAATAGTCTGTGATGAGATTCGACCACACAACCTTTGAGTTGCTAGAGGTTCGCGCCACCCATCCACCTGACCAACTTTCGTTTTTGTCATAAGTAACCTTCTGTCTTGTGTAACCATACCCAACATAACATATCAACCTAATTTGAGTGTCCCGGATTTATGTTTACTATGTCTAGTCTATGAGAAATGCTTCGCCAAGTCAGCAGTGTTCTTAAAAGCTGTGATTTTCTATTTGGAGTTGCAGTTAGTCTGATTGTAATAATAGCATGGAACAAAAATTGGTACTCTATTGTTCTTTATCATTCTTAATTAAAATATAGGTTGAAAATAATTAATGAACTCGTTACATGAAATGCAAATGAATATTTGCCCTATTTGAGTATTGGGGATTTTGTCAAAGCAAATATTATTGTAAACAAAGTGAATTACAATGCCATTTGAGAAAGGCTAGTATACCTACTGGTAACGACTTGATATGCATATTATTATATTTAAATATCAGTAGGCCTATGTTTTAGATTGGATTACTTGACATTTTCTTCAGTGAAACTGTATTCATGTGATTATTTCTCTTCGTCGTGCTTTTCCTTAGAATTAAATATATTTTTAATCTGTTAATGGTCTGAAATGTAGGCCTATTGCTCAGAACACGGATGTTCATCTTCAGAATTCCAGTTTGCAGATACTATAATCGGGGGAAATAATGACAGTTATCAGTCGCACCCACCAAGTGCCCATAAAAATATGTCCTCTGTTCTGGAAGATGATAATCATTGGTTGTACTATTATCATTTTCGCTGTTGATAGAGTATACCTTGAAGTATTTTTCGAATGTAATGCCAGATATAAATTACTTGAAATTGGGCAATTTTAAAGGAGAGAAGTGCAGTTTTCCTAATAAGCTTTAATATTGTATAGAATTCTTCAAATCCAGAGATCCACTGTCAGATGCACATCGCAGACTAGATATTGCTCACCATGATGTCAGCGCTCGCATTTTCAAAACACATTTGTAAGTTGCTTGCTCTGCTTCGAGTTCAATTATGTAATTAGGTTGATAATCACAGTGACGGAATTTAACTGCCTTTAATTTGTTATTCAGGTGGAGATTTTGAGCTGCCGGGGAACCGGCTAGTGGTGTTTTTGGTTTCAGATCATCCACAGCAGACGGACTCTATAACGTACATTGAAAAATAAAATGAAGCTCTGGATACTTGCTGCTTCTTCGTCACCCTCAATGAGTGGTGCGCAATGGATATTGGGGATGTATGTCCTTCTTTTTCATCACATGATTATCGATTAAGTAAGTGCAAATAATGCCTAATCGTCGTTAACTTAATCTCAATGCTGATTGAAATGTGGAGGCCATTTATTCTTACTGTATAGCTACTGTCAACTCAACTGATCAACGTTCATGCATGCCCTGTGATATGGATCAGTGTGGTTTATTACGGGGTTTTTCCTCCGGAAACTGAGCCAATAACAAAGGGAAACAGCTTACTCTTTAGTCAGTCGTCAGTTCAGTTAAATCAAACGTGCTCGGGAAAATCATTGTTCAATGTCTATAGTCTTAATGGAAAACTGGCCGCACCCCCATCAACCTCGCTGGGAATTAAATTAATTGAAGGAGGCTATGTTAAATGTTAGGTTTATTTACAATGAAACTAGGCTACATTATTATGTTACACAGTAAATCAAACTGTTTAATTTAAAATGATTTGTTTGAATATCACGACAAAACTTGAGGCCGACGGATTTACCAACTACTGTGGTAAATTGCGTCTGTTGGCTGTTGGGCAAAATATTGTATAGAGGAGGTGATACATAGGGCTGCATGACTCCGTATTTAACACGGTATTATATCAACTATATACTTCCCATTAATGGCAACTGAGGGTGCATACTTTATTTATTGTATTGTGAGAGCTGGGCAATAAATTGGTCAGCCAAGGGACACCCAATCCGTGTTTTAGCCAAGCTATTGCATAATGTAGGCCTACTGTAGCTCAGTTGGTAGAGCATGGCGCTTGCAACGCCAGGGTTGTGGGTTCGTTTCCCACGGGGGGCCAGTATGAAAATGCTAAATCACTAAAATGTAAAAAAAATGTACTCCTACTGAAAATGTACTGGACAAGAATTGGGAAAAAGGGTGACTTTAATTTGAAAGTAAGTTATAAATAAGTTAAATATAATCACACCATTGTCTAAACACAACCTGTTAAAATATGACACTTATAAATCATTGCTTAACACTGCTGCCACAGCAGCCTCAAATGAATGACACATTATGTTTCATTCGTTTTGTTTAATAACCCACAAATTAATCATTTGGGGTTTTCTAAGGGTGTAGTGTTTTACATCGGTTGACAATCTAGCTGATTAGATACAATGATTATTATTTTGTAGGTTGATAACACACGTTCATGGTCAATCAATCAAATGTATTTATAAAGCCCTTTTTACATCAGCAGATGTCACAAAGTGCTGATGTACCCGCATCAAAAACGTTCAACACTATTGGTTGACTCAGGCCACACATAACGGTTTGTTATGTTATAGGCTACTTCGAGGCATTTTGTTTTGGGTCATGAAATGATTGCACAATAAAATGCTATATGGAGAGATGTTGCAGAGACAGCCCAATAGGACTCTGGTTTTACAAATATTAAGTTTAAGAAGGTGTTTATTTTCACAACAACATATTTACGCATGTAACATAGGCTAGACTAGTCATTGCTTTAAATGCATAAATTCAACCAGGACTTCTTTGCTCAGATGATTGAGACCACTAGCCATTGCAAGTGTTAAATATATGGCTAATTATGCGTATGAAAATTAAACATCAGTGTTATGCTAATTCAGCTCGCTTCAGCTGTGGCTCAGAGCACTTGAGACTGGCATGTAATCAAATGGACCTGTAAGTAATACATCTGTGCATGTGAACACCAAAAGACGCTGTCAATAATGAGTCAATCTATAACCGTTTGTTTTGAGATATCGAAATAATATCTAATGCGATATAAAACATCATTTTTCTGTTAAATATTACACCTCAAAGCTACACTTAAATGTATTCATACTGCTATTTCTGAACATTATTCTTTATTGTTGTAGTTTGATTCATTTGGATAAAACAGTTCTTAGATAATAACACTATACAGGCTGTTTCTTAATTTGGATAAAACAGTTCTTAGATAACAACACTATTCAGGCTGTTTCTTAATTTGGATAAAACAGTTCTTAGATAACAACACTATACAGTCTTAATGTTTAAATGAACAGCAGGCCTATCAACATAACAGGATCTAACCATAACCTATTTGTGATTGATAATAGAATAGGCTATTTCTTTATAATTAACAATTGCATTATTATTATTATTATTATTATTATTATTATTATTATTATTATTATTATTATCAAATAGGCTGGATTTAATTGTGTGTTGTTTCTTTTAAAGCAGACATTTTGGATGTTAGTGTTTATTTTGCTTATACCTTTCCCTGCTTCCTAAGCACTTAAAAAAATACATCTCAGAGCTGAATCTGCAGGATTTGTTGTTTTTCTTGAGTTTATCAGGTCCCTCGGACCCAACCCCAGGATCGCCAATAGGCATCATTCTTGGATAGAGTGGACCAATCAGCGATCGCCTTTGATGAATATTCATGAATCCCTGATTCAAACCTTTGAGCGAGTTTGTCTAGACCACTGCATCATGCCTAGACTTTTCACAGAGACAAACTACATTTTCTTATGAATGGGAAGAGAAAAAATCAGTACAGCTTAAATTGGGATCCATCCTTCACTGAGATCATAGAAGAAAACAAAAAAGGAAGAGGAGAGATCCGCCAGAAGAGATGACAATGACTACAATACCAGAAAGTCTTAATAGCCCTGTCTCAGGAAAAACCGTTTTCATGGAATTTGGGCCACCGAGTCAACAAATGTCGCCTTCCTCAATGTCTCACGGACACTATTCCATGCACTGTTTACATTCTGCGGGTCATACTCAACACGAGAGCTCGTACAGTCCAGCCTCATCATTTCCTAGATCTTTAGGTTATCCATACGTAAACTCCGTCGGCAGCCATTCCTCAAGTCCATATCTCAGTACAGTGCAATCGTATCAAAACAACTCGGCACTAACACAGACACGGTTAGAAGATACAGGTAAGCTTTAAACTTCATCCCTTTCGGCTCTATAATGTTCTTGGAACCTTTTGGTTTATGTTTTTCGGTCCAGCAAACACACTTTGGATTGGAAAAGCAACCCAGATGTTGGGGTATTAGGCTCGGTAATTATTTATTGCGTAATGCTATAAACAATGTATGCAATTAAGGGTCATTATACCTAAACCACAGCCTGTAAAACTTACACTGTGATGTTCATTGCTGTGCAGTGACGTTGGCGAGCTGTCTCCTTTGTAATTTTGCTATTGTCTCCCCTTCTCAGCACCAGAGACAGAGAAGAACACAGTTGTAGAAGGCGGAGAGGTGCGGTTCAATGGGAAAGGGAAAAAGATTCGCAAACCAAGGACTATCTATTCCAGTTTGCAGCTACAAACTCTAAACAGAAGATTTCAACAAACTCAATATTTGGCACTGCCAGAGAGAGCCGAGCTCGCAGCTTCGATGGGACTCACGCAAACACAGGCAAGTCAACGTTTGCTTTTACTTGTATTTCCTATAGGCCTAATGCTTGCAGTTTCATATACTTTTGACCACGTTAAACAATAGGCCACCAATTGGTTACATTGGCTATTTATTCTCTGTTTGTTTGGGTTATAAACAACTGTTGTCCTGATGTTATCGAATGTTTCGAATTGATTATTATCATGCAGATGTTCTATGAAAAAGCTTACAAATATTTCGAGGCTGGGCCTATGAATCGGCTACACATAATTCTGGGTAGCTATTTATTCTACTTCTGTTATTCTTCATAGCTTTTCAATTAGGCACTTAATGGTGTTCAGCAAGCATTTCGTCTTCATTCAATTGTTATTTAAAAAGTCCAAATGGTGCGTCACTGTCGCCTGGTCTAGAGTTTATTGAAATTGCCCAACTAGACAATCTTAATAACCATGGTTATCTCTCTCTTTTCAGGTAAAGATTTGGTTTCAGAATAAGCGATCGAAGTTCAAGAAACTGATGAAGCAAGGTGGTGGCACAATTGACACAAACACTTTAGCCCAATTTAATGGTCACGGACCTACGACTGGATCTCCGGTAGCACCGGTTTGGAGCTCACCGACCACCGTGAAAACATCCGTGGGTACACCAGGGTCTTACATTCCAAGTTACACCTCATGGTATCCAACTGCACACCAAGAGTCTATGCAGCAACCGCAACTCATGTGAACATAACTGTGAGCTGATAGACCTGCCCCGCCCTCTGTACTGCCATGGCCCATATCAGGAGATTTTGGGTCCACCACCCAGCGTGGCCTTTTACTGGCCCGCTGCAGCCATGCACAGATGTAATCCGGAGTTTGCTCTCAAAGTTGCCAGCTGACATATTGACCTCTTCATACCAAACGACGGCACAGAGAATAGCCTGAGAGCCGAGAGACTGAAAAAGCACTGTCTGCGCCCAAGGGCAAGAAGTCCTTTCATGTCCACGACAGATACCGGAAATTGTTTTGACAAATGGGTTCTCAAGCTGCTGTTATTATCTTTTGTCACATTTTAATAGGCTATGTGTTAGACTAAATATATTGAGCTGTAACAAGTCAGTGAGAGTATATTTACGTATCCTATGTTTGATTTTAAGATTGGCTACATTTCTTATCCCAATGATGATCAAAATAGGCCTATGAAGCCGCGTGTTACCAAGGCCTATCAGATGTAGGTCAACATGGTGATTTGACCATGACCTTAAAACCTAGCATTTAAACATACAAAAACCCCATTGGTCTATAATATAACTTTGACCAACAAATGTAGGCCAATCCAATTAATAATTTCAAAAATAGTCTCATCATTTTAATGGGCATGGAATCGAATCTTCAGTCCGTTCCTTAGTTTTCACAGCCCGAGTTGCACGCGCCCTTGCGCAAAGCTACCATGCTGTTTTTGTGTGTTAATTTAAGTTAAATTATTTCGTTTTTTTCTATGTCTGTATCTTTATTTAATATGCAGTGTGTTTGACTTATGAAACGACAACAACGTGTTGTTAATGCTGCACTGATGCAAGCAAAACTCCTCTTCTACGACGGAGCCCCAAACCATATGTTAAAAAGTTGAAATGAAGATTGGCTGCTTGAGAAGAGCATTAAGGTGATCACGATGATAAAGATATGGTTTGTCATTGTTTGTTATGTGTTGAGCGGGTGGATGTACATAATAAGGACAAGATAATAGGCATTTTTCAGCTTTGGTTTGTGCTGTAAACGATATGTTGTGAAATAGGATTTTTATGTGTTCATTAAGATGAATGTGTTTAGCAGTCTAGAAATATTTAGTTTTGTATTGATCACTTTAATTTATTGCTTTGTTTTATGAAAGTTATGTACATAATGTTGAAAACAGTAAAACGATGATTTAAAAGGCCAGTATAACGTGTCAGACTCCTTACCGGCTATGTGTTGTAGGCCACAACTTTCTAATTTCCATATAAGTCCATGTAGGCCAGGGATATGACTTATATTTAAAACTAATACAGAGGTACAATGTGATCAAATAAAGCCTATATGATTATTCATTTTCATTAGTCTACAATGTGCAGCATTGGCCGTATAGCCTACACGTGATTACGCATAGGCGTTCAGCATTTCTACATTTTAGGCCCTGGGATAGGCCTATCAGTTTTTCATAATCACTTACTGTGAGTGCTGTATATAGCCATGCTGGAGACTTGTCAATTCAGACCTGACCCGATTAATTATGTGTCAGTTTCTATAACATTGTAATTCCTTCAACAATATAGCGCTTGTTTCTTCTCAGTTTCATTTAGCCGCTATAAGCTCCTTTCTAGTCTTCTGTGGTTCCAACAAACACCGTTTTCATCGATGAATAGAGGAGAGAGCAATGGTGTGTGTTAAGTGAATAATTGGGCGAGAGGCAGGTGCTGCAAAAAGACTGGTTGGTCGAGGAGGTGGGGGGGAGTTTAAATGTAGATAAGTAAAAGTGAAAAGTTCAAAGGGGCTCTTGTTTGGGTTTGATGGTTTAACTGCGCTTTTACAGAAAATTCTGAAGCACCCGATGAGCTGAGGAAAGGACCAATTGAGTGAAAACACTACAGGCCTACGGTAGACAATAGACTGCCAATATCATCCCCTGCAGCACCATGCAGATATACACCCATTCCAGACGTCCATTTCATAAATACAAGGCCTATATATCCTATATCTCAAATATACCAAATAAAATACATACTTCAGAAAAAACGGCGTGTTATGTTCCTCGAGTTGTTTATGACAAAACAAAATATTTTCCATAATGCAAAAAAGTGCGTGTATGGAGCATTCCCCATTAATATTAAAATGTTAGTGTTTATTCAGGAAAATAAGCAAAAATAAGTGTTAGTCTTGGTTTTATGTTGTCATCAGGTTATCGTTAAATCAACTAATTGGGCCTATTATACATAACAAATCATTTAAATGTTTATCCATCAATGATATTATAGGCTAGCCTATATGTGCCTTTCACTCTTTTCTCTGTGTAAAAATTAATCTTTATGTTTTCCACATTCACTTGGTATTACTAGGCCTATATAGGCTACTTTTTATGAGAAGTATAGCCTGGAAATAATCAACCTTAAAATGTTAGAGTGAGGTGTCTGCAACATAAATATACTCTCCCTCTCCCTCCGAAAGGCGCAGCTGCACGTCCAAGAGGTTCAGTGCTATTTCACTCTATTCTCCCCTTGATTATGAGCCGAGCCCATCAAACCCAACATAATTACAGTAATTTGCCCTTATTTATTCTAATGCAGTTTCTCATCTCTGGGGTAATTATAAGCACTTTTTTCGCACGGGGAATATTTCAGCGTTAACAAAAGAGACACTAAAATAAATTTGCTGCGCAATGAAAAACGTGAAATAGGTGAGCTGCTGTCTCTCCGCTATTCCTTTACATGTAAGGCTGGCAAATTGCTTGCAGGTGTATAGCACGGGATTGTCTATGCGAAGAGGGTTCAATATTAGCAAAGCACAATGTAAGAGTAATGAAGGCAGTGGCTAAATTACAGAAAGAGAGGAGGCTTATTCTATGCCAGGTCCCTTCCCAATCCATAGGCTATAGAGTACCCATTTCCTGATGTAAATATAGAATCAGTCATAGCATAGCGAGTATTGTCTCCGGAAGATTAATCGAGAATCCTTGTTTTTTCCCCCAATTTTCGTGCACGTTTTTAATAATAAAAAAAACCCAGTGGATTCGATTCCCGGGACAACTCAAACGTAAAATGTATGCACGCATTACTGTAAGTCGCTTTGGATAAACTCGTCTGCTAAATGGCATATATTAGATGAGTATTATATACAGACGTTTATGACAATAAAATAACTCGTTACAGATAGTCCATTATGGACAAAATAACGACATTGTTTAGTCTAATTTCTATGTTTTCCAGTTGTCTAGAATAGGCTACTTGTAACACATTACCATTTGACATGCGTGCATAATTTAGGCTTTTCCAGAAATGCTGTCCAATTAAATTGAAAATAGATTTGTAATATTTCAATGAATAGGCCTACAATTAATTACTAACTATATATCCGTTTGATTGTTATAGCCTAAAAATCGTGATGTCTGCATTAAACTATCAATTAGGCCTAATGGAATCTTGGTGAATACTAAATAGGCTATCCACCCCCAAAAAACGTTTAAAAGTTTAAACATCAAATTGACAAATAAATAAAATAACGGTCCATAGGCTATATACTTACCTTAATCTCTAAAAAGGAAGCATGCAGAATCTCTCTTTGACAGGATTAAAAGATTCCCTGATTTAGATAAAGGCAGATAAATGAGAGTAGCATCCTGAAGCATGGGCATAGGTTGAGCGCTTGAATCCCATAAGCTGTTGCCCATGAAGTGTTAAGTACTATAACAGCACAGCTCAGAATATGACTGAACATTTCTGCTTTATTTCCCCTTTTTATAGCTGATGGAAAAAATTGTAGATTATTAGCATAAATGTTTACTCATCATTACGCTGATGACATTGTGCACTCGAGATCTTGGTAATCTTTGGGAAAATTATGAGTAATTTTTAAAAATGTAAAGCAGCAGTTACCATGCAATTCAGGCTAATTCTGCGTAGGCTCCACACAGATATAATTATCGTCGAGTCAAGATGGTATGCTAAAACCTATGCATTGATATTCCAATTTATTATGTACATACAACTTTGACAATGTTGATGCTTGAAATAGCCTGAAATTGTTTTGTGCAAAAATTACAACCCATATTAGGACATCTAAAATTGCGAAGAATTATATAGTAATTGCAGGCTTTCAGATCGGAAAGCGCCAGAATGCTCAAACTAGAGCAAATGTGGATGTGATTACAGATCAGGGTATAAATTAGGATAGGGGGTATGGCATTTTCAAGTTGCCTACAGGATTCCGGAAGTATAAAGCCACATCATTTCTAGTCGGTGAGGATGAGACATGGATGCAGGGCGCAATAAGAAAAAAACATATCATGATTGTCATTAACCATTGTTTGCTCAAGACATATTTTTATTTGACATATATGCACTTCAACCACCAAATAGACAGAGAAAAATGTTATTAAATCAGTCAGATTTACTTTAATTGATCCCGTGCGTAATGGCTACATTTGCTTCCATAAGTTAACATTATTATTCTTGTGTAGACAGAGGAAAGACTGGAAAATGCTGCAATGTCAGCTAAGGGCATGTGGTCTGAGGACCTTTCCGAAGCAGGTGAATTAGTGCATGTCTTTTATAGAGATTCTTGTTCCATCCAATGTCTACATAGGGAGACAGTCAAAGTCAACGCCAGTATAATTACGTACATTACGCACGCACTAGCTCATCGCATGTGAAATGTGTAAATCTTACTAAATGTAAAGTACCACTTATTAAGCATATATAAGCATGTATTTATCCAATCAATGCATATATATATATATATATATATATATATATATATATATATATATATATATATATATATATATATATATATATATATATATTCACTGCAGTCTACAATCAAATGTGTGTTATATTGTTTCTTGCTGCTCAGGCCCACTCAACATGTGGTAGGCCGGCTATCCCGAGGGACTCCTCATATCAAGATAAAGCAACGACAGCCCCAGGGAGAATGTTCCATCTTGTAATGTGGCAATCACTGACAAGGTACATCCTTATGCAAAACGATTCCACG